GGACTTTATAGTAGTATTGACAAAGGGGGCTGATTTTTGTTAAACATGTTTTGGCTGCTGAAGAAAATTTTCCAGTTGTGTTTTGATAAACAGCTTTGTGAAATCAATAAAACTGGATGGTTTAAGCATTGTCTTGTATACATTGCTTGATTGTAAAATCAATTGACAAATGAAAGTTGTGAGTCACTCAGTGGAAGCTCCACAAAGACAACTAAAAATGATTTATATGAACCTATCTAAACTAGTTCTTTAAAAATCAAGTCTGTCTTTCAAGATCAAATTTATGATGAATATACTGTGAATTCTAGATAGTTTGAATCAAACATAAATGAAAGCCTCCAGAGACAAAATATCTACTAAATTGAACCGTGTGTAGTAAAAAAAAAAAAAAAAAAAAAAAAAAAAAAACTGCAAAGACTAGAATGTTTGGTAAATAGAGTATTGTGATTAATCTAATTTTCTGTTTTTTGTAGGATCATGTTTTGTTGCTGAGAAATATTTCTAAACATACTTATTCCAATTTTCCATTTTAAGAAAGTATATACAAAACTTAGCTGATCATTTATTGAGCAACAGCAGCTTTTTCTAGTTGAGGGTCATTTTCTGAGTACCAGTTATAATTGTTCTGATATCAATTATATGAATTCTTGCAATATAGGATAGTATATGTTCATTATAAGAAGTTTAAACAAAATCCTGAGTATTTATACTATACAAATATTGGCAGTGAGAAAAACTTACCATTAATTTATAACTATCCAGATTCAAATAATACTGTATAATATTATATTATTAAATTATATAGGGTATAATCTTACATACTTTTTTATATATGTAGAATGGGAATTATGCAAAAATACCTACATATTGCAGTTATAGTATAGATACATCACTCAAAAGTTGTTTAAGTTTCTATAGAAAATGTCAGAATACACCAAATATTTCAAAACAATTTCATTTACATTATTACATATTGAATTTTATATTAAAGTATGAGTATTATTTTTAAATTCAAAGAAACAATACAAAATAAATGATACATATGTTGCAATGTGGTGCAGCAAGTTTATTAATGGATGCCATATTATGCCCATAATTAATTATATTAAGATATGTTCATCCTCATTGGAATTTGAGATAATTAAAATCTATGTTACATAAACCCATATAATAATACCTTTTCTTAACAGTCATTTTATAATTTTGTAAAGATTTTGTATAAAATTACATGGGGCAATGAAATAAAGATCATGGATTAAGGTTTTCCAAAAGGGACTTTAATATATAATGAAAAATATCTTCGACTTTGATCTTAATTTATCAGGAATATGCACATGAAAAATTTTTTTTCTTATTCCCCTGCTTATGTTGAATATTATTGTAGTTACCAACGTAAATTCATTTATTCCTGTGTGTTTGTTTTAATAATGAGAACATTCCACAGAGCCAATAAAATGTTATGATTAGTAATGATGCTGTAATTTCATTATAAATTGAGCAAATTCAGCCAAACCAAGCACAGTAGTTAAAATTTCTCAAAGTCAAAAGCATATAACTCAACTAGAATTTAATCCTTTCTGTGTGTAACATTTTATCAGATGGTGCCAATATTCATCATTATCTTGATGGTATTGATAACATGACAATTTAAAATATCTACTGCTTGAAAATCCTACTTCCTTTTAGCTCAGTTCTCAGCCATCCCTAAGATGTGTCACTCATTCTTGTGGTCTAAGAGGATGGTTCATGTTTTAGCCAAGATGTCTGCATTTCTGGCATCCAGCTGGAAGACATTATGAAGAAGAAACGAGGCAAAATCATGCTTCAGCCATGTTTGAAATCAAGTTCTGGGAAGGTGTCATAAAACATGTCAGAACTTAGTCCATTGACCAAACTTACCTCTAAGGGGTTGAGATAAATAGAATCTTTATTTTGGGTGACCGCGTGTCCAACTAAAAACTGTGCAGTCTGTTACAATGAAGGAAGAGTAAAATGGATATTGAAGATTCTAGAGGTCTTTCCCATAGTGTCCATCCTTGTCACTCTACAAAATCTGCATTCTCAAAGCCAGTGAATGAATTCCAGCATGACATATGAGGGGCTTGGAGGGAGCAGGGGAAGAGTAGCATGGAGATTATAACGTGATAGGACCCTGAAGAGAGAGGAAGTGATTTTTAACATTTATTTAATGTAGGATTTAGAGAGAAATTGTCTGAAGATTGTTTTAGTGCTACTCTAACAATGTGCCACAGAGTGGGTGGCTTAAAACAATAGTGGTTTATTCTCTCACTATTCCGGAGGTTGGAAGTCCAAAATCAAGGTGACAGCAGGCTCATTCTGCTTCTGAAACTCAAGGTAGAATTCTTCCTTCCCTCTCTCTAGCTTCTGGTGGTGACCATCAATCTTTGGCATTCTTTGGCCTGTAGCAACATTGTTGTACCCTTTGCGTTTCTGCTCATGGGGATTTTTTCTCTGGTTGTCTTTGTGTGCACATGGTATTTTCCTCTTTTTATAACAGGGCTGTCCAATCTTTTGTCTTCCCTGGGCCATCCTGAAAAAAAAAAATTGTCTTGGGTCACACATAAAATACACTAACATTAATGACAGATGATACAAAAAATATAATGTTTTAAGAAAGTTTAGGAATTTGTGTTGAGCCACATTCAAAGTCATCCTGGGCTGCCTTGTGGCCTGATAGCTGTGGGTTGAACAAACTTGTCTTATAGAGACATCATTATGTTGAATTAGGAACCACCGTAATGACCTCATCTTAATTTGATTTACGTCTAGGAAGACGCTGTTTCCAAATAAGGTCATATTCCTAGATAATGGGAATTAGGACTTCACTTATCTTTCAGGGACACGCTGGTAACAGAGTACTTCTAGAAAATATATTGTTTGGTGAACTTTAGAAATCCAGACTTTAAAAGTTTATGTTTTTGTTTTTATAATGAGTTTCTATTATGGTTACAGACATACACTACTTTTAAAGATTTTTGGATTAAAATCTTTGTTATTTTTGATGTGTTAATAAGCAAAACAGGCTTTAAGGTGGTCCTAATGATTAGGCTATACCCATCTAGATGTGTTTTCTTTCCTCTGCAGGAATTCATCCCTTTGAAAACATCAGGCATCATGATTTCTTTTTGACTTCTGTGTATATAAGACATGAATGTATACATTACCTAAGCTGTGTTCCTAGTGTGTTTGCAATCTATAATTTGTACCTTGCCTTAAATTTCCAAACCATTTCTTTAACACTATATACCATTATTAAAAGATTTATAATTTATTTTTTAGTCTACTTAGGATTAGAGTCAGTACATTAAGTGGTAAAGATTGTGTTCTGTTAGGTATATAAACCATGAGAATAATAGCTAAAAATCTTGCTTCTGGAAGTCACACAAATTTTTATTTTATTTTATTTTCTGAGACAGAGTCTCACTCTGTTGCCCAGGCTGGAGTACAGTGGCATGATCTTGGCTGACAGCAACCTCCACCTCCTGGGTTCAAGTGATTCTCCTGCCTCAGTCTCCTGAGTAGCTGGGATTACAGGCATGAAACACCACATCTAGATAATTTTTGTCTTCTTGGTGGAGACAGGGTTTCTCCTTGTTGGCCAAATTGGGAACACTTGACCTCAGGTAATCCACCTGCCTCAGCCTCCCAAATTGCTGGTATTACAGATGTGAGCCACCATGCCCAGCCACAAAATTAAAAAATCAAAACAAAACAAAAAACAAAAAGCTTATGTAAACTTATGTGCTCACATAGGAACAGAACTTGGCAAACAGATTATTTATTATTAGTTTGCCAGGAAACTCAGTGTACCTTGAAACTCATGAATATATACAGTGATATTCCAGGTGATAACAATAAAAGTTGTATTTTTTATGTATCTTGTTTACAGTTTACAAATATTTCAATTTAGACCTAGAGACAGAAATACCATTTAACCTAGCAATCCCATTACTGTCTATCTACCTAAAGGAATATAAATAATTTTATTATATAGACACACGCACGTTGTATGCTCATTACAGCACTGTTCACAATAGAAAACGCATGGAATCAACCTAAATGCCCATCAGTAATAGACTGGAAAAACAATATGTGGTACATATATACTATAGAATACTATGCAACCATAAAAAAGGGTGAAATCACGTCCTTTGCAAAGACATGGATGGTGCTAGAAGCCATTATCCTTAGCAAACTAAAGCAGGAACAGTAAACCAAATACTACATATTCTCACTTATAAGTGGGAGCTAAATGATGAGAATACATGGGCACATGGAGGAGAAAAACATACCCTGGGGCCTATTGGAGAATGGAAGCTGAAAGAAGGGAGAGGACCAGGAAAAATACCTAACGGGTTCTAGCCTCAGTAGCTGGGTGATGAAATCATCTGTGTGGATAACCCCCATGCCACAAGTCTATCTATGGAAACAAACCTGCACATGTACCTCTGAACTTAAAACAAAAGTTAAAAAATAATAATAAAGCATGGTTGAGTTCTTGTAGGTACAAGTTTATGTAAAAAATATACTCAGCTAGAACATCTTATATAATAAATACAATTTTTAAGTAAAACCATTACTTTCAGTATCTTTTAATTTTGATTTATTTTCATTTGTAGAATTGCTCAGTTAGAAAATAGAGTAAATTACGTGTCCTAAAAAAAAAAAACGTTTAAATAAAAATAAATGTATTTACATGTTTCATATGGTCATTACAAATGGGATGAAATTTATCTCCTTGCTATTTATTTCTGTGGAATCTATGCCTTCCTCCTCTCTGTGATTAACACATGTAATTTGGGAATATAAAAGTGAAAATATTTATCAGTCTATGGGTCTATGACTCTTAATGACAATCAAAATATTTGTATTCAGAGAACTGGGATAGGCTTGTGGAATAGAGTTTTGAAGAAGATATTATCATTGTGCATATCATATAAAGGTTATATAATTTCACGTGTATCTTCTTGTCTTTGCAGTGTGTGCAGGAACAGAAAATAAACTGAGCTCTCTCTCTGACCTGGAACAGCAGTACCGAGCCTTGCGCAAGTACTATGAAAACTGTGAGGTCGTCATGGGCAACCTGGAAATAACCAGCATTGAGCACAACCGGGACCTCTCTTTCCTGCGGGTAAAACCATGGCTTTATTTCTGTTCTTTGTGATTGGACACTGGTGTCATGAGGCATACAGGCAGGTCTGCATGCTGATCCCTGGAAGGTGTGTGCTGTTCTGCCTGGCAGGCACTGTGACTGTAGGCAGAAGATAAGAGATAGTGAAACACACCCAGGAAAAGAACAAGAGTTTGGCTTTGTTAAGACATAATGACAGACGCTTCTGAGTTTAGAGCAGTTGCTGTTGTCCTACAATTGATAAAAAATTCTGTCACTGTGTAGTGCATGACATCTACAACATCTTTTTCTGAGAAGCTGTGAACTAGGAGGGTCAGAGGAGCAATCAGATAAGAATTGATAACTTTAGCCAGTCATCTCCATTTCTGCCTCTTTTCTGCCACTTTGGACTTTTAGAGTATTTTATATTACATAAGGAGACTAAGGCTGTTATTTAAAAAAAAAAAAAAAAGCACCTGGTTTTGAAAACTTAACAAATTATTTGAAGAAGTAGATTCATAGGAAATCACGAGTACTTATGCAGATCCATACACGCATTAGCACAAATGTGTATGTGTATGAATCAAGTTACTTGGCGAAAACCAGTCCTTTTGGAAACCATTTTTTTGGTTTTCATTGATCTATTCTCTGTTAAACTGGCTGTTAGTGCTCCTGGTTAGTTTCTAAAATTTTGCCTTAACTGGAATATGTTTAGGAAAATCTGAACTTGAAGGGGACTTTGACAAAGTGAGATGGCGATGTAGTCTTTGCACAATTAAGAATTGATTCCTATACAAGAATTAGTAATATATATATTTTAAAAACAGTATTCCTAGAATATATTTGACCTAATTTTCAGTAATCTTTGCACACGTTTCAGGAGCACTGTAATATAACTTTAGGTTAAATGTTTTGAATATTGATCCAGTAAAACCAGTTTGTAGATAGTAAATTATTTAGAGATGTATAAAAATTTAGTGATTCTTTACTTAGATAAGTAGTGATAAGAAGTGATATTTAAATATTTTCAATGTACTAAATATATCTAAAATTGGTAACAACCTCAGAAAATGAACCACCTCAAAACATAAGTAATGCTGTATGGCTTATGATATCCATTTTTTAAATGACTCTCATAGTTGGACTGGTAAAGCAAATGAACTGAAGGTATTTCCTTATTCTCTGCTTGATTCATAGAGCTCTGGTTATACAAGTTATGTTTCCGCAGTTTTTAATAATTATGATGTTTAATTTTGATGTCTTTGTTAATCAAAAGTAGGTAGTAAAGGATATCTGAATTATAGAATGAGAGGGCCTTAAAAGAACTTACTTTTTGAAGGAGCTGTTGTTTAAAGAAGAGAACACACACAAGCTGTCCTAGAAGATGTGCCAGGAAACTCAATGACATTGTGGAAAAAACAAACTAACAAAGAAAGCTGAATTCTGAAGCAGGGAAAATAAATAATTTAAACCATCTATTAGATTAATAGAAAAATTTTAAAATGTAATCTAAAGATCTTTGTTTTTCTTCTTGTGTTTGCTTTACTTTTCTATACATGAAACTAAATTTCACTGACAACAAAAAATGTCGTGACTATTGTAAATGACTGTCATTATATTAAATAACATGAAAATGTCTTTTTACATCTTTTATAATCTCATAAGGTAACAGTATGGAATGATAAAAAATGTACTTTAGTCTATTTTTAAACTTTAGCAATATGAACAAAGCGTGTAGATATTTTTGATATATGGTGTATACTGTGTTAGAAAGCATTTCAAATTAAAAAGATACATTATTAGAATGAACAGATTTGGAAAAAGTAAGATAAGGAGGGTCAAGATTTCTTCCTGGATAAAAAGTAAGCTATTTCTTTTACAAAAGTGAATTTTGGTTCCTAACTAGCATCTCTAAACGTTCATCTAAACTTCGTACTAATCCAAATGCATATCTTTATTTTAATATATGTATTTAAAGATAACTCTAACACCACTTAGTTTTTGCTTCCTATCTTATTTTTTGTTTCACATATCTTTTGTTTCTTTAATAAAAAATCATTTCTATTATGACATAAATCCATTCATGTCATATACAGTACTTATGTATTACACCTCTCTAATCCTTAGAAAACACATCTGCAATCCCAAGAAAATAATGGTATTTATTTCCTTGACTTCAACAATCATGTTGAGGATTACAGATATGTAATACATAGGTACTATATATATGTGTGTGTGTGTGTGTGTGTGTGTGTGTGTGTGTGTGTGTATAGGTATATTACATGTATGTGTTTGTGTGTGTGTATATATATATATGTATATATATACACACACACACGATAAATTGTTTTATATATAATATATGTTTTTTGTGTGTATGTATATATACATAAAATATTATTTCTAAGATACAAATAAAAACCCAGAATCAGAATGAAGGTGTGGTCTTATGTTAATGGTAGAAGTGGAGTTTATGCTGGGCAAAGAAAGTAGTGGCTTATTCTGAAGGATTCAGGAAAAGTTTCATCAAAGGAGTGCTTGAATTAAATCATGAGAAAATGAATAGAAGCTCATGAGCTGAGCGTGTTGTAAGAGAAGGTCATTTTAATGGGAGTAATATAAGGCTCAGAAGGAAGCAGAGTTAATAAATGTGTACTTAGCATATACTGTTTCAGACACTGGACATATACATGCAAATAAATCAACATGTGACTCCTCTTAGGAAAGCTACAGTATAGTGTGGATGAAGAAAAAGTTTCAGATGGAATAGAATATTCCATGGGAGAGGTAGAGAACCTTATAGTGTAGATATTTAGGATAAATCAGCATCCAAGTGACAAGTTAACATTTTGTGACTGGATAAAGTAGTCAATGAAGATTAATAAGAGTAAGATCAAGAAGTAGGTGAAGAAAAGAATATTCTGTAACCACATGCGGTGGCTCACACCTAAATCCCAGCAATTTGGGAGGCTGAGGAAGGCTGATCACTTGAGGTCAGGAGTTAGAGACCAATCTGGCTAAAGTAGTGAAACCTCATCTGTACTAAAAATACAAAAATTAGTTGGGTGTGGTGGCGGGCACCTGTATTCCCAGCTCCTTGGGAGGCTGAGGCAGGAGAATAGCTTGAACCCAGGAGGCAGAGGTTGCAGTGAGCTGAGATCACACCAGCGTACTCCAACCTGGGCAACAGAGCAAGATTCCATCTCAAAATATATAAATAAATAAATAAAACATAAAAATTGCTGAATGTCCCATTCTCTGTTCATTGGTGAGCTCAGTATTAGTAGTTCCTTTTCTTACTGGGCCCTGAAAGCAGAGACTGTTTGCCAAAATCTTCATAATACTATTGTTCGATGATATATTATTTCAAATTATACATTTGAATATTCTACAAAGCTCTCCATTTAATATAAAATTTCATTCCTTCCTCAAACCACATTATGAATTATTTGTGCTGATAGTAACTTGTCTCCAAAATATATACTATGTCCAGTATTGACACATTATATTAAGTGGAGTCCATGTAAAAAAATATGGTGATTTAACCATTTCCTATAAGTTTCGAATTGTATGAGTGGATAATAGATTTGTATTTACCTATTCTATACATAGTCATCTATAGTTATGTAACTAGGACTCATTGAACAAATTTCTTATAAAGGTTTTACAATTTCCCTTCATTTAAGAGTGACCCAAATGATGTATCTAGAAAGTCAATAGGGATCTTAAATTTCATACTGGATTCATTTCCGCTTCAGGAACTTAGGAAATTACTTTTGATTTTAAAGGATTTTCCATCCTTATTTTCATCTCTATCTAGCAAGGTAGAATGTTTTGCTTTGTCATTCATTTTATTTTATATGAAACCACTCTAATTTATATGAATTGTGACAATTTTCCCTGACAATTTTACCTTATTTGCTATCTCGATATTCAGTATTTATGACTAAGGCATAGTAAATGTTCATTAAATATTTGTTGAATGGACAAGCGAATTAGTATTTGTCTTAAATTATAGCCCCCAATTTCATATATGACCCATTGTCTAGATAAACATGTGGGCCTCTTGTTATAGATATGTGATTTCAGTGTGACCTCCCACACAGGCCAGGTGTGTAGGAATAAGACAGTCAATATCCCTTCCCATGAGGATTTGGAATTGTCACCAGTAGCATTCAGTTTCTCTGTTAGCTAGTTTCTTGACTACTACACCACACGGCCATCTTTGTCTTGTGCTTTGAACATCAGAGCTGTGCAGATAGAATGAAGCCAGCACACCGAAACAGGTACAAAGAGTAGAAAAAGATAATATTTACCCCAAATAGTAATTTGGGGAACCATTCATTTCCATTTCCCATTCTGCTTCTGAAGACTGATTGTATTCTAGCCATTTCCAGCTCTACTCTTGCAACTTTATGGTAATTTCCCCCTTATACTAGAAAGATTGTTTTTTACTGTACTAAAATGCCTTGTCTAGTACATCTCCTGAGATTTTAAGAACACAGCAAACGTAAGCCTTTGTAGTTGGATTGGAGATGTACTTTTAAATAATTTTAATGTTTTGTAGATACTTTCCTTAATTTTTGTTAGATACATTTTGTTGAAATGCTTTTAAATGCATTCTTTTCAAGACGGTTTTATTATCGCAATCTTGATGCTTATCTCTGTAAACCCCTTTCATGCCAGCTTTCTTGTAACCTCTAGTTTTTGCATTTCTTTTTGGGAAAAGAAATTCAGTTCACTATGTTTAACATTCAGCTCCTGAGAAACCACATCTCTGGCTAGAAAAAGGCCCTAAAACTTATTTATTATGTATTTTATCACCATCACAAGGTTAAGACATATAATAGAAAGCAGCAAGGCATAAAAACCACAGATTTTGTGCTATTGTCTTACACTTTGTGAACTCTTTAAAACAAGGCAAAATGTAGTAAGTAATGGGAATGAACTATTAGACCTTTTACCCTCATTAGAATTCTTGGGAGCTTTCTCTCTTTTGTCATTCCATTGGTCTTCCTTGC